CAATTACAACGAAAGTTATGCAGTTGTAATCTTTGCCAAAGGGAACGTTTCTCGCACACTCGCGATATGACTCTTTACGATTCACAAAGAGATAATATCTGGCGCCATGCTTGACAATATGGCCGTTAGTCGAACACCTATTCCGCCGCCCCAGATGCACTACATTCCCGAGATGTGAAAAGAAGCAATCTACAGTCCTTCTTCCCATTGGGTCATATTTCATCGTCTTGCGCATACGGGGGCACGGGTGGCCCAGTGGTCTTAGGCGCCGTGATTCGCTGTGCAGAGTTGCGTCCCTTGGGCACGCCATAACACCTATGATTGTGGGTTTGAATCCCGGCCCGCTCCGACTATGTTTCTAGGTTTCTCAGCACCATACCCGTGCTCGTGGGTTTCACCGAAGTGGTAAACGTCTGAGACCTGCACCACTTCGGGCTTTCCTCCCACATTAAGATGACACGTCGTGATATAACTTGAGTACTGTTAAAAGCGTTGTTTAAAACAGTGCACTCACTCTTGCGCATAAACTGATGGCAATAAATAAGGGAACACAAAAACGACGGACATGTCACCAGAGAACAATTATGTACTGGAATCTTTCAACTACCCGTGAGAATCTGAAAAGAAACTATGAGAACTGAGACCCCAAACCGAACCCACAAACCCACAAACTTTTAACATAGCCTTACAACAACCGTTCTGCTAAGACGATCGCAGCTCCCATACTTCAACATAGATTTAAGGTCTCATACTTCAACATAGACTTGCGACAGCTGTTGAGCTAAGATCACTTTGTGGAACGGGCCCTGGATAGAACGATGACATAGTGAAGTTTCAAGCTTGGTTTCAAGCTCGCAATAAGATTTGTGAGTTGGGATTATACCCGTCATGTCGTGCTGGGTGCGTGGCTGTTTCCTGAGGTGGGCTCTGTTATTTAACACCTGGATAACCTAAGACTTTACTGAAGGGTCAGCTGTCATGCTGGGGCGGAATCCAGGCTTAATCCTCAGCACTGGTACGGGTGAAAGTGCGCCATCTTGCGGCAGTAAATACCGGACACGTGTCACATTGATGTGTCTTCATGCAGATAATCATAAGTACGTATGTTGTAAGTATAGGAACTACAACACGGTCAAGTGCTCTACCTTATTTTCCACATTGGGTTATGGTTGGTTGGTTGGTTGGTTGTTTAACAGCCAAGACTATATCATATATGGTACAGAGTGTATGGAACGATTGTTTTGTTCGTTTGTTGTTTAACGCCGCACTCAGCAATATTCCAGCTACATGACGGCGATCTGTAAATAATCGAATCTGGACCAGACAAACCAGTGATTGATATCATGAGCATCGATCCACGCAATTGGGATCGATGACATGCACTGATGCATCAACCAAGTCAGCAAGCCTGACCATCCGATCCCGTTAGTCGCCTCTTACGACAATCATTGTCGCCTTTTACGGCAAGCATGGGTTGCTGAAGACCTATTCTACCCCGGCTCTTCACGGGTCCCATTCGGTTATGATACGAGTAACGTATTTTGTCTCGTGTGAATGAGTAAAGGCTTACTCCGCTTTTGGCAATAATCTGGCAATACCATGAGAGAAGACACCAGGAATTTGCCAAGTAACCTAACAAATGATTAGTCGTATTTCTTGGGCTACTTCCTGCAGCATCTGACATTCTATTACTGTTTCTTCATGAAAGTGAACCTACCCAGCAGAGATTCAGAAATATCGCACAAGACAAACACCAGGGGGTGATGAACTGTTTGTACAGTTGCAACTGTCAGTCTCCATCCAGATGCAGACAGGTCTCGGTGGCGACCAATCAGAGAGCTGTATAGTCCTCAGCTATGTTACAGCACATTAAGTAGTATTTACCTAACTACTAGCAACCTTGCACGGCGGGCCCGAGGGGCTTCAAGCGAACAATGCCTCCACTGTAATTCTGCGTCAGGGTTGTGGTATGCAGCTTTTCTGAGCCCAGTGGCTGGCTCAAGAACAGGCTCCATCAATGTCAGCTGACTCAGGTTTTAGCTCCTTGGGGATCACTCTATCAGAAAGACCCCCTCAGACACAACTCTGTGTAAGACAAGTATTAGATTCAGAAAAAATCTGAATCTGATATGCACTTCGTTAAAGTTAATGAATATGCTAAGAAACAAACACGAGGTAGTTCTAGGCGATGTAGGTTGGAGATTGAGCTCCATTAAACAACTCAAGGATCAAAGGTCCTCTTTGTAAGATCAATGTTGGCTGGCATGACGCTATTTCCGTGTTGATTAATCGGTATCGGATAGAACAAGCCTTTCGAAAACACAAACACCCCGCGGGAAATCCGTGACAAAGAAGTGGCCATTTTACTTGCGCAGGAGTCCAATGAGACTCGGATTGGGTGGTCGCAATGCGTACGGAATAACCCTGAGACAGTATGGCGACCTGGATCAGTGGCGACCAACTCAGACAAGATTAAGCGTTGACCTGGCTGAGCTAATCTGCCATCATACCCAAACGGCGAGGATGAATGGTCTTACTATCAACCATTGGACGGTATAAGTCCGTGATCAAGTTTTCCACGCGGTAACCCGTGCATATCGTAACATTCGATGATAATGGGATCACTGGTTAGGCTGTTTGACCAGGCTTATTGTGTGTGGTCGTACCCCGTCGCTACGGACGTTTGCTCATGCCATCACTCGCTACTTTGCCTGATCCAAGCTGTGATAAACAGGCCGTTGTAATAAATTTTGTTGTTGTTGCTTAACGCCGCACTCAGCAATATTCCAGCTATATGACGGTGGCCTGTAAATAATCGAGTCTGGACAAACAATCTAGTGATTGACATCATGAGCATCGATCAACGCAATTGAGATACGAGTGATATCGTTTTAAATTGTTTGTGACGTAAAGCAACAAACATTCACAACACCGCCCTCGATTATCCAGTGTAATTTACCTTCAATCTATACTATACCGTGGATCCATTCGCCTCCACACTTATGGAAGTGACGTCACAACCACCATCGCTTTTTTATCTACCATAAAACTCAAAACTCATAAGTTGATTGGACGGATATGTTTAGCGTTGTGCGATTATAATCCGGATCAAAACGAAGCTATGGTAGCGAATAGATCCAGGGTATTAAATAAATTTGTAATACACTGGATAATCGAGGTCACTGCACCAGGATGCAGCGTTGATGTTTTAGTGTCATGGCTGTCTATGGTGTAAGAGCCCTTCAAATCGCAAACTACGAACAGATGAATCTTTCAGCTGAATCGCAAGATTCAGCATCTTTCAGCGCGTTCTGAATGTTAGTCAGCACACCTGGTATCAGTATGCATGCACAGGTGCATCTAATACTGAAACGGACACTTGTTGATTATTCATATTGTAATAAAGTAAAAAACCCGACCTTGACCTTGATAGAAGTGCATACATAATACAGAAACCAGACTTCACTTTATCTGATATATTCAGAATATTAACATCGTATTACGATAAACCAACTGTGCAAGACATTGTGAAGTGGTCTTTTATCCCTGCAGCATACATTAGTCGAGTTTAATCAAATTAAACCCCAGGGGCATCAATGTCGACCGCGGCCGTCAGTTGCAGCAACAAAGTGTCTTTTTATCCAACATAAACCCGAAATAGGACTCGACTTTTGTCACTGTGTAAACTCGGGCCGTTGTGTTAGAGGATGCGTATGTACCCATTCAGTTTAATGCTTTTACAGTTTATACAATATACCGACGCCGTCATCTGGAACAAATGATATGAGCTCAGTTTGATAAACACAGGGGATCCGTTGTGTAAATGTTATTCCAGTCGTAAACATCTATCAGTGACAACGCGAGGGGGAATTTACAGGTTACACTGTGGTAGAGTGGCAGGGTGTTTATTTGCCTGAGGAGCTTTAACTACCGCGTGTAGTCGACTGTGTGCAATACCTGTCAGTTAGAACAGGGGTGCTGTATATTAAGTCCACAGCCAGTACATGTCCAAAGGTAACACAGGTGGTTCGTCGATTAAATATTCTAACTTCGGTGTACAAATATGAATTCTTGATATTCCCTTTGTCTAAACATTCGACAGCGTGGATGTTTGCGCACGCACACACGTACGTACGCACGCACGCACACACAGAAAGATAGATAAGCTTAGGAACTAATACAGACTTTTGTATATATGACCACCCGATCTCGTTAGTCGCCTCTTACGTCAAGCATGGTTTGCTAAAGACCTATTCCTCCCCGGATCTTCACGGGTCGTAATATGTGAGTGAACATATCCTTTGACAGATGTTTCCAGAGTCACCCTTAGACCGCCATCATGTAGCTGCAGCATTGCCATTTCACCAAATTTAAACAGCCACTTCGATGTAGCGTGTGGTTCAGGAAACAACGCCTTAATATGACAATGAAACACTTAAACACACGTACACGCATCAATCGTTAATGTTTGTTTGTTTATTTGTTGTTTTACGCCGCACTCAGCAATATTTTAGCTATATGATGGCGGTCTGTAAATCGAGTCTGGACCAGACAATCCAGTTATTGATATCATGAGCATCGATCCACGCAGTTGGGATACAATGACATGCATCAACCAAGCCTGACCAACCGATCCCCTTAGACCCCTTTCACAGGCATAGTCGCCTATTACGACAACGATGGATTGCTGAAGAGCTATTATAAAACGGATCTTCACTGGTCACATCGTTAATGAGTTATGGTAGAAAACATGGACATGAGTCGTGTTGGTCACTGACTGACCGGTGCAAACAGGGCTACTTGTATAACGCATGTGTGGACTGGTTTAATGTTCAATGTAGTAAGGAAAAGTATTCTTTTTTAAACATGCAATTTGGTTTTTTTAAGGTACCAGTGTCTGTCTGATATACCGATATTCAATATAAAGTACACATATCCTTTGATCCAACATCACTGGTGATATGTATGTGTTATTAACGCATGTTTTTTTTCTATTTCAGAGGGCAATCGCTACCATGACCAGTTCGACAAGAATGTGGAAGCCTTCCTTCTCGACAACGGCTACACAGGGGGCTCTCTCGCCGCCATGAAAGATGGCCGAATCATATACGCGCAAGGCTATGGCGTCACGAACGAAGGTCACGAGGTCAAGGACACAACCTCGTTCCCAGTTTCATCCATTTCCCAGTCTTTGACAGCCGTTGCAATCCTTCAGCTTGCAGAGATAGGTGCCCTTGACCTTGAAGGAAAGGTTTTCGGTCACGGCGGATATCTCCACATGCTAAAACCCCACCGATCCGAGTCAGTTGATCCCCGGCTTCATGACATCACAGTCCGAAACCTCCTCCATCACACGGGAGGCTGGGATATGAACAAGGCTCCACTCTTTGACGTCATGCTGAATCCCTACTATCTGAAGAAGGGCCACAACGTCCCCAACATCAGCGACATCATGAACTCCCCTCCGCCGCTGTCGCACTACGACACCATTCGTTACATGATGTCGCAAAGACTGGACTTCACCCCCGGGACCAAGACCGTGTACTCCAATCTGGGCTACACCATCCTCGGTCGAATCATCGAGGAGGTTGGTGACACGAGTTACGAAGATTTTATCAAGCAGAACGTGCTTAAACCTTGCGGTATGTGGCACACGCGGCTGGGAAGCAAGGAGAAGATCGCCAAGATTGACAACAGGTCTAACAGGATTTCAAAGGACTCCAGCGACTGGCAAGACATAACCCTGTATGATGTTCTCCATCCCGCCGTCATTGACTCCGCTCTCGGCTGGTACTCCAACGTGTTCGACATGATGCGCTTCCTTCGATGTATTGAGAACCATCACAGTTCGGGACTGATTAATAAGAATTCGTTGGACACGCTGGCCCGCCGACCGGAAGCAGCGCCCGTGCAGCACAGCGCTAACTGGTACGGAACTGGGTTCAGAGCCAGCATTGAAGGAACCATATGGCAGGACGGGGACAAGCATGCTAACGATGTTCTGCTCTTCCATAGCCACAAACACGAGCACGCTATCCACATGCCGGACGCTTGGGTCCTGCTCCTAGACGGTCAGAAACTGAGGCACCTGAAGCATAAGTCCCATCAACTGATGGAGTATCTCGGGACCGGCTTCTCTCACGACGAGATCATCCTCCACGACCTCTCCGACGTCCAGGTGCCAGCCACAGCGGTCAAATACAGCGTCGACGAACACCACCTCCATGCTTATGTCAACGCTTTGAAACAGGAGAGCTTTGACGTGACGTGGATCAGTGGCCACGATGCTCACCGACGCACCCAGTTCACCATCATCGCCGAGAAAACCGAACATCCACACGACTACCTCGTTGAACACGGACTCACGGAAAAGAAACTCTTCTCCAGGAAGCTTGCTCTGGAAGATGAAGGTTTTAACATGACTTATCTACAAAACTACAAAAGCGCATCCCACGACCAAAAACACGCCTTCTTAGCCGTATTCCGAAAATCGGCCTATGATAAGCACACCCACATGAAGTGGGGAATCCACCATTACCCAAGGCCGTATGACAGGCTCCTCGGTCTGTACATCGAGAAAGGTTACTACCCGACGGTGCAGAGTTACATCCATCACGAAGATGAGGCTCTCCTTTCCTTCATCTTCCTGAAGCGCGACAACCAGCGTAAGGTGAACTTCAAGGAGTACCACGGTCTCAGCATCCCTCAGCTGGAGAGGATGGTGCGCTCCAACGCTAACCAGGACCGGAAGTTGGCGTACGTCGATGTGTGCATGGTGTACCGGAAGCCCCGATTCTCGGCAGTGTTCACCAACGAAAGCCCCAAACTGTGGATATTCGTACCCGAACTCAACCAAGAGTCTGCTGATAAGATTATCCAGGAAAAAGTCGCAGAGGGTTATGTTCCCAGGAAAATAGTTGGATATGCTCGGACTGATAAGAGTGTTAAATACGCCCTATACGTGGAGAAGAAGGATTAGAAGATTAATGGTTAATATTATAACTCAACCGAACTTTAGAAAAACTACTAGTATACCGTCTTGATAACGACAGCCAAAACATGGAAATTACCGTTTTTCGATCCCTTCTGTTGAAGATGGAGTTTCTGCGTGAATTTGATGTCAAGCTCTATTCGGAGCTGACAATATCTTAAAAGAAAATTGAAAAAAAATATGCTTAAATGCTACTTGATATAACACCCATCACAAATCAAGACGTCCGATTTTTGCATATGACTATTGTTAATCTGTCATGACCATGATAAACTTTAGTTATGAGAAAACGTTTTTTTAAACTTATTGTGAGTAGTATATTTTATTCTTTTACTTATGACAAGACTCAATGTTTGCATTGCAAGTGCAGTTGACACGTCTCCAGCACAGTGGTGTGTATTTTAATTTAATTACCGCTTAACTTGTCAGTCTGACGACTGTTTTACTTTGTGTGTAAACAGGTGCGAAATATATTTCTATATTTGTTATTTTAACAGAATGGACCATTCATTACATAATGGATCTGCAGGATCACTCCTTTTTAATCACGACAGTCGCATGAAAACCAGCAGCTCAGATGGAACATTTGATACATTCCTTTACACTGACAATAGTTCCACACCAAGACATATACTAACATCCATGCAACTGCTTATGTGTAATGTTCGCTGCCTCAAGTCCTCTGGATAGCATTGACATGTTATATAGTTGTGACGAATGTATTAGCGTGTTTAGTAATTTATGTGGAAGGGCTGCCCTACTGAATACCCTTCACCCTCATGTCTTCATTGTAAAGTGCTATGATTAATTACCTTACGTTTTGTCCACGCATAAAGGGTTAAGAGTTACATCGTGGCTACCAGAATGGCATTTATGGAGCTTGTACATACTCGTCTTAATCTGTACATAATATCAATGTTGTGTATGTCCAGGTAAATGTGTGTATTAAAACTATTTTACAAAATGAGCGCTTGTGTTTACATTTCACACAAAAGTTCAGCTGCACCCACATCAGTAAGACATGGCAACTGACACGAGTCAACTTGGGTGGCTCCACAATAACATGCTCAGCTGTGTTGTGAATGTTGTCACGCCGTTTACAGTAAGCCCATCCTTGACTCCACAGGGGGCACGGGTGGCCCAGTCGTCTGAGGCGCCGCGATTCGCTATGCAAAGTTGCGTCCCTTGGGCACGCCAGAAACCTATGATTGTGGGTTCGAATCCCGGTTCAGCCCGATTATATTTCTATGTTTACCAGCACCATACCCGTGCTCGCGGGTCTCACCGAAGTGGTAAACGTCTGAGACCTGCATCACTTGGGGCTTTCCTCCCACATTAAGCTGACACGCCGCGATATAACTGGAATACTGTTTAAACCCAACACACTCACGCACTTGACTTCACACATCGTCCCGAGGCAAGGGGTAAATTGACTATAAAAGTCCAGTTTCCAACCTTGCCGAACTGGGCTGAAATTATGGAGTTATATTTTGGTTGGACTAACGAATCTTTGCATAGTCCGATCAAAATCACTGAAATCAACATCCGGTTTGTAAACTGCCGTGCAGATTTCGGTCGAATGCAGGATTTGCAAAGCATGTTTACCGGCAACTTAGCGTCAAAAGATATTTTCAAAATCGTTTCATGTTTTAATACAGGTGTTCACGTGATTTGATACACTGTGCGAAGTAAGACCGGTTTAATTACAATAGGGACAATTCAGATCTTGATTATTGATCAGATCGTCTTAACTGGACGCTGCCATTTTGTTGGAAGCAAATGCAAGTGATGTGAGATTTAGAATGTGATTGGACAATAGGAGGGACATAACTCGTAATAGCCACTGGTGGCGCTACGGTCGAACCCAGAAATTCCGGCCTAGTTCGGCAAGGGCGGCAACTGGACTTTTGTAGCCTGTTTACTCCCTTGCCTCGGGGAGATGGACTCCACACGGAGACTTCCCTGTAGCTGTGATCAGAGCAACAGCGGCAAATGGTGAATGTTGGTGACAATGCAAATGATGTGTGACTGTTCAATTACACGTGGTGAGTGAATACTGTTGATGGAATTATGGAGTTTTGGCTGGACTAACGAGCATATGCAGTCAATAATCAAAATCGCGTTACGAACTAGACAACCGGTTCGTAAACTGCTGTGCAGATTTCGATCGATTGCAGAATTTGCAACATATTTTCCAAATCTTTTATGTTTTTAATCAAAGTGCTCGCGTGACTAATGCACTTCGCGATGTAAGACCCATTTTACTATAAGATAGATACTTTATTATTGATTATCGATCAGATCGTCTTGCCTGGGCGACGCCATTTTGTTTGAAGCAAATGTAAGTTATATGAGAGGTGAAATCTGATTGGTCAATAGGAGGGACATAAAAGGGACATAACTCGTAATAGCCTCTGGTGCCGCTACGATCGAACCCAGAAATTCCAGTCAAGTTCGGGGAGGGTGGAAACCGGACTCTATTGCCTCGGGAAGATGCACTACCTACCACTGTGATTGGAATACTACTTTTGATGGTTTCATCGAACAACTTAAATGGTATTAGTACAAAATTACGTAATTATAAACGTTTGACAGCCATTGGCGTTTTCATGCATAAGGGTGTTATCTTACTACCGAGGTATGTATCGCATCGTCAGGAAGTCACCATGTTCCCTGAAAACAGTACTTGCATTCACTTGCTGGAAAGGTGGCGTAATCCTCTTTCATGTCTATAGTGCCCGAGTAATGGAGGGGTGGTAGGGTAGCCAAGTGGTTAAAGCGTTGGCTCGTCACGCCGAAGACCCGGGTTCGATGCCCCACAAGGGTACAATGTGTGAAGCCCATTTTCCGGAGTCCCCCCACCGTGATATGGCTGGAATATTGCTAAAAGCGGCGCAAAACCATACTCGCTCACCCTGTACTTGATTTGATGCGAATACATAAGGACTGCAAAACAAATTCACCAATGACCATGTCCATAGGCATACAACTTGTGGTTGGTTGGTTTGTTGTTTTATGCCCTACACAGCAATATTCCAGCTATAGTGAGTGAGTGAGTATGGTTTTACGCCGCTTTAAGCAATATTCCAGCAATATCACGGCGGGGGACACCAGAAATGGGCTTCACACATTGTACCCATGTCGGGAATCGAACCCGGGTCTTCGGCGTGACGAGCGAACGCTTTAACCACTAGGCTACCCGACCGCCCCTATTCCAGCTATATGAAGGCGGTCTGTAAATAATCGAGTCTGGACCAGACAATTCAGTGATTGATATCATGAGCGTCGATCCACGAAATTTGGATCGATGACATGCATCAACCAAGTCAGCGAGCCTGACCACCCGATCCCGTTAGTCGCCTCTTACGACAAGCACAGTCGCTACAACTTGTGGAAAGGTATTGGGAACAATATCGCAATCTCATTAAAATCAGATCTTAGTTCTCGCTATGCTAAACAGCGAGAACCTAGATCTGATTTTAATTGATTGAACCATATCGCAGCCTTGAGCTGAGTAATATTATACATTTTACTCCGACACTCCTACGCATATTATACCGAGTATAATACTTCAAACAAACACCTGCAAACAAATCCAGATGATGAAAGCTGCAATGGACGTCATATATCACGTGACTGAATGATAACTACAACCAAAGGAAATACACCATGTACAATTTTGTCATCCGTGAAGATCCGAGTCAGAAAAGCAACCCATGCTTGAGGTAAGAGGCCACTAACGGGATCGGGTGGTCAGGCTCACTGACTTGGTAGATGCATGTCATCGTATCCCACTTGCGTAGATCGATGCTCACGATGTCTATCACTGGACTGTCTGGTCCAGAATCGATTATTTACAGACCGTCGTTATATAGCAGAAATTGCAACAACAAACAAACATTTTTGCCATGTACTTAGTTGGCACTGATGCACAGAAAATAATTACTGGTCGATCCCCTTCTAAACAGGTTTTGTTTTTTAACAGCAATGGTCAATCAGATCTCATCCACACGCCACTAGATTGGTGATAATGAAATAACATACTGTTACCTGAGTTTCAAACACTTTTATTAAAGTAAAATTTGTTTTTCTTTCATATTCATGAGAATATACATGGTTCCGTTTATTGCCAATTTGATGCGGGTCCTTTTACACATGTTTAAGACTGACTACCTTCTTATAAAACGTACAGTCGTAGTCAATGTAGCAGATAACTATAGTGTGGGCACATGCACATGACGCAGTAACTAGCTGTTAGAAACGTAGACAAGAATCACTGTCGACTGTTATGGAAAATACTCACCTCTGAGAGTGAGTTGGGTTTAACGCCGCTTTTAAAAGTATTCCAGTTATATCACGGCGTGTCAGCTTAATGTGGGAGGAAAGCCGTGAAACCCACGAGCACGGGTATGGTGCTGACAAACCTAGAAACATAATCGGGGTGAACCGGGATTCAAACCCACAATCATAGGTTTCTGGCGTGTCCAGGGGACGCAACTTTGCACAGCGAATCGCGGCGCCTTAGACGACTGGGCCACCCGTGCCCCCTACTCACGTCTGAAATAACATGATGAAAATATGCGCAATAAAGGTACACGCAGCAAGGCACAACATGGTACGCACATCAGGCGTTGATCATAAAACATTCGCGGATCCATTTCGAATTTGCTTAAATGATTGGTTACACTAACTGTAACCTATTGCAGTCTAACAGAATCTAAGGATAGCATTCTAAACGGACTAGCGTCCAAAACATACCAGCTGATTTAGTCATAACGGCCCACCTGTCTAATTGAAATGGACCAGTGAATTATCTGACTGAAAAACGTAAAATTATTTTTTAGTTTCGTACTCATTATATGTTCATTATCCTTTTATTTAAATGATATAAAATTATACTTTTGAGAATTGGCTTCCGTAATAAATAAATAAATAAATAAATAAATAAATAAATAAAATAAATACACAGTCTGCTTGTTTAATCATCAGCACACACACAAAAACTGTGCAATAAGTTCAGCGCAATAATGCAACACAAGCCCCGCCCATTCTATTATCAACAAGTCAAGAAAAGGTAGTCCGTTTGTGGACATGGCCTATTTCGGTTTAAACAAAATTGTTTGGTTAGCCAATAATATGGCACGGAATTACTTGTAGTTCATTCATAAATACATAAACATACATGACTTTTGTATATGTTCGCACACACTTTTACATACACACTCGTAATTTTACACTCAAAACAATTACTTTAAATTGCAGAGATGCTTCGTAGGAAAATTAATTAAGTATATATATTACTTATGTGCACTGTCATTGTTCCAAAAACCTCTAGGACCACTGACTTCATGGCCTGTGTGCTACTTCTCATCTGTCCCACAACTACAGCCACCCCTGTAATCTACTCATCGGCAGTCAATTAACAAATCAAAACCAATTATATCAACTGAATTTGGAGATAATAATGACCATATCAACTTGCGAGTTTTAAGGTGTTATCTATTAATATTGATAATCAAAGCGGTAGAGGATTCTCTTTACTTCAGTTATTATTCTTGGGGAGTGTTCGTAAGAGACAAATATTAAAAAGTAAAATCCCCAATTATACGGTCGTTTTCAAGAGAGAAAACAGAAGTTTCACGCATTGTACCTTTGTAAGTACTCTAAGCTCTGACAAATTAATCAAGATCTATTTTTAATAATAATTTGTGTATGTGACTAGAGATACGTTCTTTGGTTTCAATCCAGCTGGTACCACACTGGTTCGTCTGAACAGAGACATGGGCCGTTATGGCCTAATCGGTTGGTCTTGTTTGGGCACTGGTCCGTTTCCACTGGCACCCGACAATCTGCGCGCGACCTCAGTCAGTGCGGTGACCAAGGTTAACGGAGTTGCTTCCCCTTGATGCAGGCAGGAAAAAAACATCTCGCTTGATATCAGGACAAAGCAGGAGTAGCCTCACAGCATTTGGCAGTTACATTGCACTACTCTAACTCTAAACTTCTGAATATCACTTCAAGAACTATTCGATACGACCGTAGAATTCAAAACGGCAGTACGCAGTGTCGTCATAACACCAGAAAAGTAACGAGTAACTTCTGTAGGGTCCGTGTGCGACTACATTTAACATTACACACATAGCAACTTACCTAAAACGCCGTTCGGCCTTGTGAAGAAGTTTTTCGTCCTCTGCAAACCAAATCCCAAACGGTACCTCCAGTGGAATATGTGGTGAAAACCGAAACACTTTGAAGCAATACGCTATCAACAAGCACACGTGTTTTACTTCCGGAAATGTCGCCGGGGAGTAATCATTGTTATATATTAATTCCTTACGTCAAGTGGATAAGATGTAATCTTGCGTTCAAATTAACAAGACATATCGCCATGCACAATATGTAACAGTCTAAATAACTAACTTGTTTTATATATTTAAGTAAATTTGAGCATTTGTCCCTGTGTAGAAATTATTACAACACAAAACAAGGATAGCTCAGTTCGTCCTTGACATTGGCGGATCTGGCGCATTATTTGGATTTTCTTTCTGTGCAGATGCGATAAGATCGGAATGGCGGAGGGTAACTATTTCTCCCTGGACGATATATTGGCAACGCAGGAGAAAATGCCCTGTAAACTTGTAATGCCTATTTACCGTTTAGGTAAGTATACTTTTAATCGTACCGTGAACAAATGTTTACCTGGTATTCGGAAACTCACGGGTGTGTTTGTGTTCAAGTTTCAATGATTCACGGATATTGTTATCATGATTATTGATTAATTATTGTGTTCATGTTGAAGGGTCATAGGGACATTAATGCATTTAATATGCGGGGCACGGAACAGCTACTGATATAGGCCTTATAATCGACAGAGATGAAAGCACTATTATAGGCCTATTTGACTGCCAGACCGCCATTTACTGATGGTTCAGTATGTTCATTAAGAAACTTTGCTAGACTTGAGCCAGGGAGCCAGTTGTAGTAGAAGACACTGATTGTTCTGTCATTCATTTAGTAATAGTTACCATGGTTACATGTTTTTTCGTTGCAGGGTATTTAGATCCAAGCTCTGAAGGCGATAATCTTCCAGCTGACACAAAAATGGAACTTCCATTTTGGATGGCAAGAGCACTGTGTAGTCGTAAGCGCCACATTGTTAGCGTGGAAATGCCCAAACAATATCGTGAAGGTTATCGAGAGATCTTGTCTGCAGATGCCAGTGTTGTGGACCTACACAAGTTGGGACCATTCTTCTACAGCTTTGGTTCACAACTCCTAAACTTCGAGCATCCAGAGGGAACTGATATTGCCAAGTGTTTATTGAAGGTGAGATATTATACATGTGAGGGTCTGTGTATATTATCATTATTATAATGACAGAAAATACTAGAAGTGAGAAATCATTTATAAACATGATTAATATTATGGTTAAACCGTTTTCATTTGGCATTAGTACATGTGGAATAAAATGTAGCGGCGATAGAATGTCCAAGTCCTGTAATGGGATTCAAACCACAGACATGATATATGAGGTCTGATGCCTTGTCCACATGACCTAAGAGATCAACCTTATTAGCAAGCTGATGACAAGGTAAGGATGTATTTTGTGGGATGACTCCACGCCCTACTACACATGAATGAGTGAGTGAAGCAAATATATATCCTGTAATGTACAAGTAATGAAGTGTAGAGCAGGCCAACTTGCATGACTTGTTGTTTACGTCATGAAAAGTTCCTAGCAGTCGTACTCTGGTGACACAATCAGCCAGGTCATACATTAAATCCTCCCCATGTGACAGGGAGCTCATGACAAACATGGGAAGTTGGGGACCTAGCCTGTGCCTGATTGAAGGACCGAAAATAGCCTTGATTGTGAATTATAGACAAAAAATGATTCTTCTTTAAAACAATAAAATTATTCATGCAAGAAAACATTGAAATAGGGAACATCACCATACATGTAATATTTCTCCTGCTGACATGGTAAACAAGGTAAATGGACAAAATGTAATAAATATGATAAAAGCTGTTAGCATAGTTTCCACAAAAGTACTTATGAGTCATTGCACACAATCTGTGCTATAAAATTTATGTTTTATAAAGAAAATGTTTACAGCCCTCATACTCATGATGATTCTTCCAAGGATATCACATTCCGAATGAAAAACTATTTGGACCCTTGTCCAACTGGACATGCTGGAGAATTTATCTTATTTTTATTAGAAACAAGGATTACATTTTCAATCATGATACTTGCTCCAGTCTGTACTGAGGCACTTAAACATGTTTGAGACTTCATTCTGACAAGTTAAATAACAGATTTTTTTTGATGACTGATAAGATTTGTATGTTTTAATTATTAACAAATTGATTATAACCATTGATTGATTGTGTAATGCCTTTCACTTCTCGAACCCAGTGAGACCATGGTCTCATGGTAGAGCGTCCGTCCGGAGAGTGGAATGTCGGGAGATCGATACCTGGCTGTGTCATACCTAAAGACGTTAAAAGATGGTACTTGTTTTTACCCTGTCTGGTGTCTGGCATTGATAGTCTAAAACAAGGACTGGTTGACTCGGAGTCAGTATACTGTGCATGAGTGGGGTATTCATGTTAAACTGTGTCATGGTATTTCAGTGGACTAGCACTATAAATCAACATCAGTCCGGACTAGTACAAGCCACACACACGTGCATGCTTGTTGCTATATAAGGGCAATAATCTAGGACGTGATGTTCAACCCCATTTCACCTCACCTCACTTCAAAACCAGTGAAGAGAAGCCTTTGATAACCATAATAAATGCAATTTGAAATTGCCTGTATTGGTTTTGTAATTTTCATTATGTTTTTTCAGACTTTCCAGTCTCGATTTCGTAAAATAATGGATTCTTCCCAGAATGCCTTGAACGAAGACAATTCTCAATTGACCGAGCGACTGGACGAGACAGAGAAAGTTTTGTTTTGTGCTGGGCAGAAGGGACTGAATGATTTCCTCAGATGGGAGAAGAGAGAAACGGAGAAACTGGTTACATCGGCCATGGTTCAAAATCACCGAAAGAGGAAGCGAGCTATCATGGAGAGATCCTAACATGAGATCAATATGAGAATCTCAGATGCCCAGAACTTGTCTCCATCCTGCCCTGTGTCACTGATGGTGGCACAATATAGCCAGGAAATCTTTTGAAAAGGCTTGTCATCACCAAAGTGATAAATGTCTTGTTTACTGTCAAACACTGTTCCCTGTGTCACGTCTATAGTGGCTATGGGTTAAAACAATACAGCAAGGTTACAATACATCATGTACAGGGGCGGTCGGGTAGCCTAGTGGTTAAAGCGTTCGCTCGTCACGCAGAAGACCCGGGTTCGATTCCCGACATGGGTACAATGTGTGAAGCCCATTTCTGGTGTCCCCAGCCATGATATTGCTGGAACATTGCAAAAAGTTGCGTAAAACCATACTCACTCACTCACCCACAGCACAATTGTATCCTAGCACCCATTAGGTCTTTTTTCTCCTGGAGGGTCACATATATACAGTCCATAATGAGTGATGAAGAAACATTACATGTGTCGATACCATGAACGACTTCCAGCTGGCGACCCGTGAAGAATTTGACTTCAGCAACCTATGCTTGTCGTAAGAGGCGATTAACGGGATCGGTGGTCAGGCTTGCCAACTTGGTTGATGCATCGTATCCCAACTGTGCAAATCAATGCTTGTGATGTCGATCACTGGAGTGTATAGTCCAGACTTGATTTCTACAGACTGGTCCAGGCAGGCCACAAAGTTTAAATTTTTACCAAGTAGCCATATGGCAACAAGTATTTTTTTCCAGGTAGCCAGTGGTAAAATTGAGAAGTCAAGCCAATAGTGTAGGTGGCCAAAAGCATTTGAAATTGGCTTTGATCAAATACTATTATTGTATATTATTGGAAACTGTACTTGGGTTTTGTTATTTGTGACTCGAACAATGATCCAATTTATGTTAGTAGATCATATACATTGTTGGTATATCCTTGCTTATCCAATAAACTATCAACGAAAATAAAATACGAATTACATTAATTTTTATGTATTTCGGTTCATTGTTGACTTTGGGAGGAATTATTTGCAAGTACAATTAGTAGCAGACATGTTCATTTTTGTGTCTAAATATGTGTAGAAATAGAATTTAGTCGCCACAAGATATTTTTCAAGGTAGTCATTTGGCTACCTCTGAATTTTAGACAGTAGACAAATTGAAATTTAGGTTGCATTGGCGACAGTTTAAGTCGCAACTTTGAGGCCTGGCAGACTCGATTATTTACAGACCGCAGTCATATAGCTGGAATATTGATGAGTGTGGTGTAAATTAACAAACAAACAAAACATCCAGCTGGTGACCTGTAAGATAGGATCAGTGGTAATGTTACCTAGCAAGTAACCAGGTGAGCTACCTGGTTAACACCCGTATACGACTCTCACAAGTAGAACTGTTGAAGTGGCGATCCCTATTTATGGAGGGTACATGTGTAAGCTAATAACCCTCGAATTGTATTTACTTGTTGAAAATATGCAATTATTAATAAATATTGAAACTTATTCCATTTTGTATATGTTTTTATTGTTCTTTTTCACATTTACAAGTGTAGGCATATTGTTTATCTCAGAAATATACTTGCAGAAAAAAGTACCCGTGTTTCATATAAAGTAATGTAAATATTATATTATTGAAAATAATAACATAATATTTGGTCATTCATTGACCAAATTTATACTTGGTATCCGGGAACATAGCTTCATGCTCTGAAAAAGGGGTGGTGTAACAACTCAATGAACAATGTCAATGTCAGGTGTGACCACCGTTAGTGGTAATACAGGCGAGTCAGTGTCGGTGCATTGAGGACACCAGATGATTGAAAACAGCCTGGTGGATGTTCCAAAGGTCAAGATTGGCCCAAAATGAGCTACCTATGGTGGTGCACTGAGCTGGCTGGTTTTGGTCCTGTCGTTGGCGTCGTTACATCCTATCCCATACTTGTTCCCTGGGGGAGGGGTCTTGAGAAACAGCTGGTCATTGCAGTACAGCAATGTTATGCTGCCTCAAAAAGTCTGTTAGAACATGTGAAACGTGGGCAGGCAATATCCTTCTGCAACATGACGTGACGTACCTGCATTTGCACAAGAGGTACATCATGATCTTGAACTATGTCGTACTGGTAGCTTACACCTTTCAAATTACCATTAACAATGATGACGTGTTCTCCCATGAGTTGTGATGCCACCCCATACCATTACAATTCCACAGTCTAACTTATGACGTTAAGTAATAAGCGTCGCTAAAACGTTCTCCTGGGCGCTAAAACGTTCTTGCACAACGAAGAACATATCCCTGCAGTATTGATCGGTGTCAACTAGATGTGTCACACCTCTGGATGGCTTTTGGAACTGGCAAACAATTCAGATGTTTAGCTGTTCATGTCCAGCTTTAAATGCAGTTATAAGCTGTGACCAGGCATCTTTTTTTTGTGTGGAGAAGGAAAAAGAAGTATGGGATGTGTATGGTGAAGCAACAGAGTTGTTCATGTCGATTGATGTACCAACTGATGTGGTGAACATAATGAAAGTCATTGAGCATAATGTTGTCTGAATGTTTGAAAGGGCCAGTATCTTTTTGTTTGTTTGTTTGTTGTTTAACACCGCAGTCAGCAATATTCCAGCTATATGACGGCGGACCAACTGATCAGGATGTGGTGAACATAATGAAAGTCATTGAGCATAATGTTGTCTGAATGTTTGAAAGGGCCAGTATCTGTTTGTTTGTTGTTTAGCACCGCACTCCGCAATATTCCAGCTATATGATGGCGGACCAACTGATCAGGATGTGGTAAACATAATGAGAGTCATTGAGTATTATGTTGTCTGTATGTATGAAAGGGACAGTATCTGTTTGTTTGTTGTTTAACGCCGCACTCAGCAATATTCCAACTATATGACGGCGGTCTGTATATAATCGAGTCTGGACCAGACAATCCAGTGATTGACACCATGATTTTTCGATCCACGCAATTGGGATACGATGACAGGCCTGTATTTGTACAGGAGTAGATGAGGCACGGAGGGAATTATTCACTAAGGAAGGTAGATCCACTGATTCCATTCCTCCTACATCAGCTGCTTTGTACCAACATGTCAAAGAGCTGCATTTCAAGCTGGCCACTGATGGGAGTGAGTCTAGAGACCTCCCTCCGCCACCAGAGTCAGGATGAGCAAGATCAGTATCAGGAGCCTTTGTGGGCTACTCTACCACAAGCTTCTAAGTCATGCCAAGAGCTTCTGAGATGTAGTTGTAAGCCTCAGAAGGGGAACAGAGCAAGGTGTGAAAGGCACAGTTGATTTGTACACCACTTTACAAATGTGGATGCAACTTTGATCCAATTTAATAGTCATGAGCCAATCAAAACATTAGCCATGTACAGGAAATTTCAATGAATACAAATGTTTTTTTAAATATTCTGTTGTTGGCAATATGAGTATAAATATTGGTATAGTTAATTGGCTTTACTGAATTAAGACGTGTTGGGATGCTGATGTGGAAGACTACAGGTGAAACGGGCATGAAAACCCTGCAGGGTTTTTTTTGTCCTAGGTCCTTCTGACAAACTTGATAGGAGTCTGACCTCTAGGTGGGTGGCAGTGGTCTGAGACATATTTAAGGAAGTCTCCAACAGTGGAACATTTCCATGGGCATATCCTGATGATACATCTCCAGTGTATGGTCTGGCCTCTGGTTCGATTCTTAGAGTAAGTGAACCCATCAAGGAATACATGTGGGGTTCCTCTCTGAGACTCTATGTACTCAACCCTCCGTATACCAGTCATGGTGGTGATACCTCACTGACTGTTGTTGCATTAAGTGTTTAAGAGGTCGCCTTCTGTCTGAGCAATTTCGGCTGACCTGTCTCTCTTTGGGACTCATGTGTGTAAGTTGGGTACACATATCTATTGTGAGTTTGGTATTCACATAATTTCTGTTTTTGTATTGATATGATTTCTATTTTCTTATATTTATATAATTTCCTTTTTATCCTTGGCTGTTCTGTTTATATACGTTCGAGTAGCTGTCCATCGCTCAGAAATAGAGCTAGTTTGGCCTTCACTATTGCATCTCTTGGCTTTAGGAGATCTATGACAGACAGCGGATCTGACTGCAATTCTTGTTTTAACCTAGCCCGATAATAAATAAGAAGTGTCACCTTTGGGAGTATTTAAAGTCCAGGGAGGGTGTAACCCTTTATATTGACTTTCTGGAGGCTGAATGTCATCACAATTGTGACTTCGGATCAGTTTACGTACTAATATTCCAGATGATTTTAGTGAGGGATTTTCTCGAGCTAGGGCTTCATCTCGAGTGTGTTTGTCTTGCCATATCTTTTTAACCAAAGGGTGTGATGTTCGTCCCCAGAACGATAATATTGCCTCAGTATAATATCTTCTTAGTTTCAATGGGAGTTCCCCCGTTTCTTCTTTTAGTGCTTCTAGTGAGGCGCCTGTGGCCAGCAGTAGGGCTTTGTATTGTATTCTGTCTAGGCGCCTCAAGACAGTATTTGATGCTGAGTGAAAGGGCCTCACAACCATAGTCAATTTTTTATCTGATAAGTGATTTGTAGAGGTCCAGCTTATTGTCCCTCGATGTGCCCCAAGACGTGCCTGAAATTGCAATACGTTCAGGTCTTTTTCACATCTGTTTTCCACATATTCTATATGTTTGCACCAAGTGAGGTGTTGAGGTGTCACCCTAAGAAATATTGCGGATTTTTCAAATTTGATTGGTTTGCCTTTTATGGAGACACGGGGTATCATAGCATCTTTCCCCCGGCGTTTGAATAGAACTCCAACAGTTTTTTTACTTGAAAGGGCGAATCTCCATTTATTGCACCATGGATCTACTCCATCCACGGCTGACTGGAGTTTTTACTGATTTGTGAAATATCTCTGTGCTTTACCCATATTGCTCCGTCATCAGCGAATTTAGAAGTTTGGGTTGGAGAGTGACATGATCAAAACATCATTGATCAAGATCTTAAACAGGGTTGGGCTGATAATGCTGCTTTGTGGCGTGCCATTGTCCAGTGCCATAGGATCAGATCGATTGTTCCCTATTTTAACTGATAGCTATGAAGTTTGCCATGTTCCCTTCTGCTCCATTTTGTGAGGAGTCTGTCATGCCATTCCATATTGAAGGCTTTGCTGAAGTCCAGAAATACTGCGGCTGGGTATTGTCTGTTTTATTGAGCATTTGTATTTCATTTTCCAGTCTTAGAATATTATCTTGACACGAGTGTCCCTCCCGGAAGCCACTTTGGTCAGGTTTGATGTGTTTGCCAGTTTCAAGGTGATGCATGAGCCTTTTCGTAACCATGGCTTCCAAAGCTTAGCACATGTTTGAGGTGAATGAGATCGGTCGATAAGAGTTTGGGAGGGCTTCGTCTTTCCCTTGCTTTAGAAGCGAGATAACTACAGCATGTTTCCATGCTTTTGGGAGTTCTCCTTTGGACCATATCGTGTTACACAACTTAGTGAGTAAGCTTTTGGTTTGATCAGGTAGGTTTTTCAATATCTCGTAACTGGTTGTGTCAAGATCAAGTGCTGTGCCTTTTCTATGTTGTATCGCATCATCAAACTCCACTCCATCAACACTCACAGTAAATGGTATATTGTATACCAGATGCTTGCTATGCATCTGTTTTGATATCTTAAGCATAAGCATTTTTTCCTGTTTGAATTATTTGCTGCAATTTGTGTTGCTGCTGACAGATGAGAAGTGCTCGGCTAGAATGGCTTTAGTGAGGGATTTTTTCGAGCTAGGGCTTCATCTGGATTGTTTTTGTCTTGCCATATCTTTTTAACCAAAGGGTTTGATGTTCATCCCCAGAACGATAATATTGCCTTAGTATAATATCTTCTTAGTTTCAATGGGAGTTCCCCCGTTTCTACTTTTAGTGCTTCTAATGAGGTGCTTGTTGCTGCGCCTGTGGCCAGCATTACGGCTTTGTATTGTATTCTGTCTGTCAGACAGTATTTGATGCTGAGTGAAAGGCCTCACAACCATAGTCAATTTTTGATCTGATAAGTGATTTGTAGAGGTCCAGCTTAGTGTCCCTCGATGAGCCCCAAGATGTGCCTGACATTGCAACACGTTCAGGTCTTTTTCACATCTGTTTTCCACCTATTCTATATGTTTGCGCCAAGTGAGGTGTTGATCAAGGAACACTCCAAGAAATATTGCGGATTTTTCAAATTTGATTGGTTTGCCTTTTATGGAGATACGGGGTATCATAGCATCTTTCCCCTGGCGTTTGAATAGAACTCCAACAGTTTTTTTACTTGAAAGGGTGAATCTCCATTTATTGCACCATGGATCTACTCCATCCACGGCTGAACAATTTCTTTTCTCTTCTATTTCTTCCTTAGTATGTTCCCATGAAAACAGCATGTTTAATTTTGTAAATACCTTTGACCGAGACTGAGCAAAGACCGTAGAGTTTCTGGACAAATGGGTTTCCAGAATTAAAATGGGACGTGTTGTTAGTATTTCATTTTAAACACTTTACATAAGCTGACAATGTGCGATCACAACTAAGAAGTTGACTATATATTTCACAGGGATGTATATAAAAAGACAGATCTAGCCTAAAGGGTAAGATGTGATACAATGTTTGAATTTCTTATCAATATGGAAGGTTTTGTCGCTTTTATGAAATGCTTCTGGGACAAAATTAATGTTTGCCAATTCATATTGTATTTGATCAACGATACAGGGGATTGATAGGAAATAAACAGAATGTCTTGGGTATCGAAAGGCAATGAATGCTACCATACAGAACAGCAGAAAGACAGCGTGGCCTAACAGCATTACATAAAGATAAAACATATTTTCCTAGATAATTTGAATGTCAAGGAGGCAATTTCTCTCCTTTATACTATACTGGTTATACATTTCTTGTTCTAATTTCTGATCAAAAGTCCGTCTAATATTCCAGAGCGTCTTCGTTTAGTGGTAGTGCGTCCGCGCAGAGAACGAAAGGTCCGTGGTTCTATCCCCAGTCTAATATTTCAGAGCGTCTTCGTGGTCTAGTGGTAGAGCGTCCCCGCAGCGAGCGAAAAGCCCGAGGTTCGATTCCCAGTCGCGCCATACAAAAAGACGTTGAAATATGCAACTTATTGTTACGCTACCTGGCGCTCGGCAGTAAGTGGCTAAAACAAGGACTGTTGGCTCCGAATCAGTATGCTGTGTCTGAGTTGGGTATTCATGTTATACTGTAGCATGGTATCTCAATGGGCATAAGACCGGCATTAGTCAGGACTAGTAAAAGCAACCATACACACGTGCATGCACGTCGCTATAAAGTGCAATAATAATAATCAATAATCAATAATCTTCGAAGCGATGTAATCACAATTATACCTCACCTCATCTCTAATATGTTCAAACCTAAAACATACATGTCCTATATAATATAATAGCTGGGAGTTGCACCCAACACGTCAGCTTAAAATACTTTGTTTGCGAGCACGTTTTACAAATATTAGCAAATGTATGTTGGTAACTAATTATATTATACGAAACCTTGACTTATTGACGGTCTGTATGAATATCCTTTCTTTATTTCAAATGTCACACGTGTGTGTCGAGGATACGAAGTGCACAACACAGTATTTCCAGTGATAACGAAGTCCAAAGTCCAACAAGGTTATATCAAGCCTTGTGAACACTGTCCCTTGACTCGTTACCCAATCTCACTGCATCAGGTAGGTCTGACTTGTCTGTCACCAGGTATGTGTGAACCTCAGTAGTACAGTGTGCGAGTAACATCACAATTGTTCATCTAACGATACAGTCATCTCCAGACAGATTCTTATAAACTAATTAAATGTAACACTTCAAAGATCTACATTCACTATTTCCTCCAATCGACCACTTTACTTTAATACTGAGATCAATCCCGAGGTATGTGTATGTATATATCACGTGTGTCTGTTACAGTTATTACTGACATGATTCCTGACAAATGCTTCTGTAACCAATATGGGAAAATTCTTCTATATAACCATATAATTGTAGGGTCTGATAAATTAGTCCGAAATTAACGACTCCTACTTTCGATATGCTAATGAGTGGGTGTCGCCGCAAAACTTGGTCACGGGAACGGATATTAGTTCACAGGCGAATGTGTGAGCACAACAGAGGTTTTTATTGTTTCTCATTTATAGACGGGACAGAAGATAGATACCACAACTACAGTCGGCCTTAGTGTCGCTGTCACGTGTTTAAGAGTGTTAAGCTGCGATTGAGGGTAAGAAGTGCATTTTTCCACAGGCTGGTACATATTTTGTAGGTAAGATGGCGACCTCCCAGAAGTTAACAGAACACTTTCTGACATGCACGATATGTACAGAGGTGTTTGACAAGCCCTGTACACTTGCATGTAATCACACCTTCTGTCGGAAATGTGTCATCACCTACACCCAAACCAGACCAGAAGCCATCAGTGCCAAGTCTCTCCTGTGTCCATTCTGCAGGAAGATGACGAAAGTGTCTGCCCCTGAGAGACCAGTGGAGGAATGGGCAGATGACTTCAAACCTAGCTTTGTCATCCAGGGACTTTTGGACTCATTTGGCCCCGAATCTAAAGGTGAGCGTTTGTGGCTTTTACGGAAATACGTGTTGTTTCTAAGCTGGTGGATTTGAGCAGATATTTTGCATTGTTTCTGTGGATACCGATAATTCAGAACTTATAATTCAAACTTTCTAAGATTTTTTTCTTGTCTTTGGCTGTTGAAAATTTTGTATTTGCTCAATATCTTCTCTATTTTAATACTTGATTCAAAATAGGCAGGTATCGTTGACCCATGAACAATGTTTTTTTCATAATTCCGTATGTATGAATGCGCATCAGACTGTAACGAACTGGAACAAATATGTCTTGGAGAAGGCGGATGTTTGGTTCAGAAAATCGGTGGTATCTTTTATGTTGCTCCTGACATGTTCAGTTATTGGTTTTAGCACTTTATCCATAAGGTCACTGATTCTGTGTTTGGGACATTTGGGTCCCGCAATTATTGGCCGTAATTTTAAATCATTTACGGGGTGTATTTTGACATAAGCAGAATTCAATGTTTGACATTTTTCTTGTATCTGTGCGCTCTTATGAACTTTAGGGAGGCCATAAAAATTTAATAAATATCCCCTTCGTTTTTAGTCAGACACTGAGAATGTGCACATACTAATGTTCTAAGAGTTAGTAAATCAGGTTTCTCCGAACTGTCTGAAAGCTTTCTGTAACAAGATTCATATTTTAAAATATCTATTAAGAGTTCTTGGTAATAATTACTGTCCATAATTATTAAAGCGCCTCCCTTATCAGCTTCTTTAATAACAATTGAATCGTTGTTTGAATATCTGTTTAGAACTGCTCATTCATTTTTTGTAATGTTTGATTTACCTCATTGAGGGTTTACAGTGAAGGGTAAATCTTTGAGGCGGTTATGAACTTTGTCCATAGGAGTAGGGGTGAACTTCATACCTTTAAATAATACAGAAATCTCCTCCTTTGTTTACATATATATCGTCCAAAACTGGCTCCCACTGTAGATACTGCTTGGATGAGATGAAGTGATATCTATATTATAGATTTCGCTGCAATGAAATTGCGTCTCAATGCTTTTCAGACCATTCTGATATCATTGGTTACCTTGAAGTCACAATCGAATGACATCACTAATGGCTCTGCTACTGAAGCTGTCAGTGCTTTCTAAGACAATGCTTATTACTGTCTACAAATTAAAAAAGTTGGAAGAATGATGTTTGATGATAAATAAAATCTCACCCTTTTGTCTTTTGATATCAAATATATCAACACTCGTTAATACTTCACTTCTATCAACGTGTGTATCACTACGTGAATAAATCATTACTTCAGATACGATCAACTGCAGCTTTTGTAAGGAGGAAGGGGAGACAACTCCAGCTACATCTTGGTGTTCTGTCTGTGACGACGCACTCTGTGAACTGTGTATGTGGGTGCACAAACTAATTCCACTTTTCCGTCATCGTGGCGCATTTGACCTGTCTCCATATATGAAGGTTAAGGTTAGGAAAAAGGTCATGTGTAAAGTTCACAAGGATGAAAATGTCAAATACATTTGTAAAGATTGTAAAACAGCTGTTTGTCAAACATGCTGCACCAACCATCACAGGAAATGTGACTTGGTTGTTGAAATTGAGTCAGAGATTACTGCAATGAAAACCGAGTTGAAAGAGAATAAAGAGGATTTGTTGAAGAAACACGACGAGATGAAAACACATGTTGGTAAACAGGACACCATTAACGTGCTGGACCTGAAGGCTACACCTGTGTTACAAGACGCCATTAACGTGCTGGACCTGAAGGCTACTCCTGTGTTACAGGACACCATTAACGTGCTGGACCTGAAGGCTACTCCTGTGTTACAGGACACCATTAACGCGCTGGACCTGAAGGCTACTCCTGTGTTACAGGGCAACATTAACGTGCTGGACCTGAAGGCCACTCCTGTGTTACAGGGCAACATTAACGTGCTGGACCTGAAGGCTACTCCTGCGTTACAGGGCACCATTAACACCAGAGTAGCAGGATATGCAGATATATCAAACCCCAGTGATATGACGGTGTTAGTGGTGAATGGTACAGACACAGTGGTAGTCACAGACTATAGCAACAACAGTGTGAAGTCCTTCTACACCAGGAATAAGAAGCAAAGTCACAGCAGGCTCAGTGTGGGTGGTCGTCCGTATGGTATAACAAAGTTGAAGGACAACCAGGTGGCTGTCACTGTGCCGGGTGCCAGTCATATTGTAACAGTACAAGTCAACCCTGACCTGGTGCTGTTGTCAACCATTATAACCAGCAAACGGTACTACAGTATAACGTCTCTGACACCATCAACACTAGCAGCAGGTTCTGACTCCCCTCCCTGTGTTGATATCCTTGATATGGCGGGACACGTGCTGAGGTCAATTTTTCCAGGCCAACCTAGTAGATACATCTTGAAGTATCCCTTCTTCCTCTGTACCACGAGGACAGGAAACATCCTGGTGTCTGACTGGGGATCCAAGTGTGTCGTGTGTCTGACTCCCGAGGGAGATGTGGTGTTCACCTACAACACTACAGGAGACACAGAGATGGAGTATCCACATGGTATCACAAGCACCAGCACAGGCGACATCCTGGTGACAGACATCAATCTACACAGAGTCATCCATCTGACTGAGTCAGGACAGTTTGTAAGAAACATACTGACATCACAGGATGGCGTCCAGAGTCCACGTGGAGTGTGTGTTGGTGGGCGTGGCCGCATGTACGTGTGTACATGGGATGCAGTGAGGGTATTTACATTGAAGTGAATGAACATGTCGCAATCCTCCTTTCAATCAACTGTAGTCAGTGTGAGTTGAGGATTTATGTTTTAGATATGTGTAATTGTGTATTTACCTTTAAGCACATTTCACTGTGTTTTAGTAAAATCACATTATATATAAGTGTTTAATCACTCATCTGTCCTTTGCTATTCAAATGTGATGAATGAAGGTTTAATAGGACACGGTCTGTAAGTGTACACATTTTGTAATCTCAATAGCAAGACACGGCTGTACATGTACTGCTTTAATTGTTCAGATCTCATTTTATATCACCAACTTTGAATGTATGTAGCTTTGATAGAAGATCATTATATCGAATACCAGATCCTCCGCATGGTGTGTTTTTCATGTTTCATGTAACGGAGCTATTCCTTCTGTGTTATAAATGGTAGTGTTGTGAGCTATGTCGGTGTAGGTTGAATATTTACATGACAGTAATCCTTGCTTGCTATGCTAAGGACACTAAGCAGCACTGTTTTGTTACAGATTTACACACGGGGCATCGTTTTGCTATCTATTCCTGATTTTATGTCAATAATTCATTTAATGATATCCCAAAATGAATTATTGTAATTCATAATGCCTGAGTATTATGGATCTATTTGTGATATCTGATATATCTGTGTAATATTTACATGACAGCCAGACTTCCTTGCTATGCGGAAAAAGTTTTGTTACAGCTTTATAGACATTCTTCCGACCACAATGATCCGGGCGACAGTTGCACTGCTGTGTCACTGTGACCTGCAAAGGAGGCCCGCGAGAGTCTGGCGTTTCTGAATTCTAAATTCGACAGGCTGATCATGTGACATGCGGTACGAAAACCGCCAAACCAGTCAAAGTGAAAAGCCAGTATTTTGCACTCGTTGTGACCAACCGATCACAAATGTAGTCACTTAACAAAAAACAACTAATGCATTAGCAACCCACACTTAAGCATTAGCAACCCCGATATACACCAACAAACCACACTAATGCATTAACAAAAAATAACTAACGTATAGGCAACACACATTTATGCATTAGCAACCCACACTAATACATTAATAATCCACATGAATACATTATCAACCCATACGTATGCATTAGCAACCCACACTAATACATCAACAAACCACACTAATGCATTAACAAAAAAAAACACTTATGCATGAGCAACCCACACTAATGCATTAACAAAACACACTCACTCATCACCAACCCACACTAATACATCACCAACCCACACTAATACATCAACAAACCACACTAATGCATTAACAAAAAAAACACTTATGCATTAGCAACCCGCACTTATGCATTAGCAACCCACACTAATACATCAACAAACCACACTAATGCATCAGCAACCCACACTAATACATTCATAAGCCACATTTATTCATTGGCAACCCACACTTATGCATTAGCAACCCACATTAATGCATCAGCAGCCTGATCTGACATGACGAGGAATCCCCGGGTAGTGACGTCACATTCAAGAAGAACACGTGTTCTCGTGACATCACTGATGTTCAGTGGTCCATTCATATGTAAATTTACTGCTGTTTTACCCTTTTAGCTAAATGGAATCTAATCTAAACTGCTTATTCTCTTCCACTGACAATTTACATATATTTAAACATCAATTGTTTAGTTACTTTAATTGGTGTTATAGTTCTAAAATCACTATAATTAACCAATAATTATTGTGGATATATTTCAATAATACGTTTCGTATTTTTCTCAATATTTTATCTTACAACTAGCCAAACCTGAATATATTTCTGTAGATAATGTTGATCAGTTGCCGTGCAGGTAACTGACCATCACAAACCAGTGACTCTGGATTATCTAACTCACCAAGGCCGCCACGCTAGGGATATGCCCCAGGCTGTAACATGCTGTGTATGGCCAAACGCATCGTCATTTTAGTATCAGATAGGTGGAATATAAAGGATATTACGTGGTCAGTGCTCTCCGTAACTGTCAAATAATTGTAATTAATACGCCACGCATGTTGCAGATATAGATCATAGTTTCAATATTAGGTAACTAACGCATTCTACAGAAGGCCTGAGTCCCTATATATACGAAGTCCAGTGGCAGATACTTCACACTGCCACAAATAAAGACGTAAAGGGACTCAGCAGCTTTCTCTCTGTTTTATGTTAAGATAACATTATTTTCTTGTTAAATTCTTCTTGCCTTTAACTTATATGATATCCTGTGCAAGCAACTATATATTTACCATGATTTGTAATATTTAAGAATAAGTTATATGTCATTCATTATACCGCAAAGTAACTTGAATGTTAATTGTATGTGTGTGTTTATATAGATATTAGTAGCTTAGTTCCACTGTACATTAACTGTTGATATGCCAAGTGATAGATAAAGCCATACATTACATAGCATGAGAAAGAGTACATTGTGGTAAATACCCGCGGGTAATCTCACGTAAATACCGTCTCATGCGAATATTGGCCATGCTACTTCTATCATTCGGTTAAACATTTACGGCATTGAAATTATACAGTATGTTAAATATATTTGTACGTAAATACACCAGTAACACAAGAATGCCGTAAATGTAAATGTTCACAGTTCCTGTATGAATTGTCTTAGCATAAAATACTTCCCAGTCCTTTATTATTCACAATTTGCTTTTTGTACCTTATCTATTAGAACAGTCCTGTTAAGCAAGTTCAAACCAATCGCTATCAATTCCTGTATGGTTGTCAATCATATATTTAATGTAACAAGTCATTGACTGCATCTATCTTGTAATGTAATATTGTTTAAATATCTCTCAAAATATTAAATTTGACTCTGCCACGAATAAAGACATAAAGGGACTCAGCAGCCTTCTCTCTGTTTAAAGGTGATAGCCAAGTAATCAGCTCTACCAAGTTAATTCCCCAACTACCTTGGTCATTGTGACATAGCAAACGGGACCACACCCACACAAGGCAAAAAGGTCCCCAAAGACAAGCTACGTCAGTTGATGGATATCAAAGTTTCCGGTGCTGATGAAAGGCAGAACACAGAGAACAGGATGAGGCTCTTGACTCGTTGTAACCCTGAGTTACCAGGCAGAGTCATCATCAACAACAGCTCCACATCACAGGCGCCAACCTCTACAATATCAAGATCACCAGCAACACACACAACGTCATGGTCAAGGGTACCAACGTCAACATCAACATCTACGTCAGTATCAACAACCGTATCAACGTTATCAACAACATCCTCAACAGCAGCTACTCAAAGTTTTTCCTCCATGGCATCAAACAAACACAAGCATGGCCATGTCACATATTCAGCTTCCTAAATATTCAGGTAAGCAGGATGCAAATACCTGGTGGTCATATCTAGAAACTATAAACTCCAAGGTACTGATCAAGGCAGAGCGTGTTTAATTTTGTCCTCTTTGAAGGACCAGCCAAACATTGGCATCATGCCTTGAGTGAGGATATCAAGTCAGTCTGGAATAGCTTGAAAGAAGCTTTTATTACTAGATTTCAACCATCAGGACAATTTGATCTGTCAGTATTGGCGATCAATCATCAACCAGCTGAATCAGTATTAGATTACACCAGTAGGTTTCAGCAGGCTACCTCTAGTAAATCCATACCAGTCGACATCTTAGTTGCCATAGCTGTGAATGGACTGAACCCTTCCGTTAGACAATGGGTCTATAATAGAGCCCAAAACATTGGAAGAGGTGCGTTAACAGGGTGAACTTGCAGCCAAGTCATACCCCAGCATCCAACAGCCAGATCAAGCTAACCTCACAGACCAGGTGACTAAGCTATCAACACTAGTGATGTCGCTAATGAAGAGCCAACAGAAGCCTTTTGCAGCTGCAATGTCAACACAGCAGGAGACGCTCCATGATGACTGTCAACAAAGAGTCAGGTTCCAGTCACCACCTCGACTTGATGACTAGAGCTCAAGACAAGGTCATCAGCCATCTTATGCCAGTCCACAGGCGCGGCACACGTGACCACGTGACTTCAGAGGAGAGCAACTCCGACCATCCAGCATAAACAACAGAGAAAGATGCTCAGGATGTTGTGGGTATTGTTCTCAACGTAATTACTGTCCCCATCAGCATACCATTTGCAATGTTTGTAGAAAGAGTGGTCATCATACATCTGTATGTTACCAGGTTCTTCTGTCTAACATAAATAATCAATACGAACGCGGCCTGATTCCAAGGATCCACCTAGAATCAGGCACCCATTCAAACAGCCAAAACCATCTACCCCACCTACTAGGCTTACTATCCCTACTACCCAATCCTCTACTAACTTTAACCAACATCTCTTGTAGCCCCATTATGTTAAAACACCATTTATGTTAAGGTCAGACAAGTCAAAACAACAGCATTGTTAGACACTGGAGCAAAAATAGGACTCACTGAGTCTCACCTTCAGAAATCTCATCAGAGAGAGATTCTTGGTGTTGGAGGAGAATGCCATCCTATGTTAGGATTAGTCACTCTACAACATCGACCATGCTTCTTATTCACAAGATTTTCATGTCTTTACATCGTTACATCATACCATCATTCTTGGTTTAGACTTTCTCAAGTCTAACCATGTCAAAATTGATCTATCAAACTGCACAGTTCACCTGCATGATGGATTGATATCCGCTTGGTGGATGCCATTGCAGAATTTGCTAGACGCGAAACAGTTCAGATTCCTCCTCACTCCCAGGTTGATATTCCAGTTAAAATCTCCCGTTGTGAGAGCAACAGAGTATTGCTACTGGAGCCATTTTCTGGCCTAGAGGCACTCCCACTTGTCAACGAATAGTAGCCACAGCATCCATCATTGACCCATCATCTGTCCATACATTGGAATCTGAGCCAATCTTAGATCATCCATCAGTCAACACTGCAGTCCCTTCTAGCCCCTCAAAGCTAAGTGCTAACCTGGATTTTGACTCAGATCTCACAGAGACCAAGAAGCAACAGCTTGAGTGCTTCCTCTTGTCTCAAAAATCTGTTTTTGCACGAGAATGGTCAAAGCTAGGCAAAACACATCTGCATCAACATAAGTTTGAAACAGAGCATACCCGTCCTGTTAGACTCCCCTTCTACCGGCAGTCATCTTTATTTAGAAAAGAATGTGCTAAGAAAATTGAAGAAATGTTAGACCCAGTCATAATAGAACCAAGTCATTCTGAATGGCATTTGCCAGAAGTCATGGTCAAGAAATCTGACATAAGTTATCAATTTGTGGTCGATTATTGCAAGCTCAATGCAGTTACGAAACCAATATTTTCCCCTCTTCCATGTTTGGAAGATGCTATTGGTGAAACACATGCCCAGATGTCCTCTGTTCTTGATTGTGCAAGTGGAATTTGGCAGATACCACTGCACCCAGAAACAAAACACAAATCCTCCTTCATCACCCAAGATGGTGTTTTTGAATTTTATGGTCTTCCTTTCGGTCTAAATGCACCAGCAGCTTTCCAGCAAACCATTTGTTCTGCTCTTCAGGCTAGGAATTGGAAACATATTCTAATATATGTCGACGATATCATTGTTTAAAGCAGAACATTTGAAGAACACTAACATCATCTGAAATGTGTTTTTTGCAAACTTAAAGAAGCTGGTCTTACCTTAAAACCAAGCAAATGTAGATTTGCAGCTAAGAGAGTAACGTATTTAGGCCATGTTTTCAGGAAAGATGGAGTAGAAGTTGACAAATCAGAGGTAGAAGTTGTTAAGAGCATCCCTTCTCCCCAAAATGTCCATTATATCAGACATTTCTTGGGTCTTGCAAGTTACTACCTCAAATTTGTCCCACATTTTGCCCGCATAGCATCACCATTGCATAACTTGCTTCAAAAGGATGCCACCTTTAATTGGTCAGACGAGTGTGAGCAGGCACTTAACAAATTGAAAGGATGCCTAACTTAAGCCCCTGTCTTAACATATCCTGATCCCAATAAACCATTCATTCTAACAATTGATGCTTACACCTCAGCCACAGGGCATATCTTAGGTCAATGAGATGCTTCTGGCCAAGAACATGTCAGTTATGGTGGCCATGCCCTTCATGCTGCTGAGAAGAAATGGGGCATCACTCAGCTAGAATGTTTGGCTGTATTAGAAAGCATTAGAACTTTCAGGGTGTATCTCACCTTTCAAAAGTTTAAATTCTTCACAGGTCATCATGCTCTGAAATGGCTTAAGGACATCA